GCTCTTGGGGCAGTGGGGGGGCACTGCGATCTGCTCTTGGGGCAGTGAGGCTGGACACGTTGCATCTGGGTGTGGCGTCTGCCAGGGCCGCGACTCAGTGAATTCTAACCCAGAATTTGGGGTGGTGAGTGAGGGGATGCAGGTTTTCCGATGCTGAGCTACCTCACCCAGGGCAGGCAATGGGCCCCAGGGCTCTGGTGCAGCTCAGCCGAGCCATGCGCTAGCCCTGGGCAGGCTGTTAGAGCAGCAGAGGCTCCCTGTGCTCCTCTGAAACCCGTAACCACTATTGCCTACATCCCCCAGGCAATGGCCACCTGCTACAACAGCCCTCTGTGGCTACTGTCCCTGGACTTCTGCCAGCCCTTGCAGCATTCTCCAGCCCTGCAGGCCCCCATGGGCTGGGCCAGACAGCGCTGCCAAACTGCAGCACTGCACCGGCCATGGGGAAAGGCCAGAGTGACGCTCACTGCCTCAGGATTGGGGGTGGGAGGTGCTTGGTGCTGACTGACGGCTCCCTGACTCCGTGGGGATAGCCTGGCCCCTTGGCCTTACCTGGGGCCGGTCTCTCATTCCCACCTTCTGAACCCTCTAACTCCCTCATTCTGCACACGCCACCTAGTGTCCGCCTGGCTTCCCCGATGCATGGCGGGGGCTGGCCCACTGCACGGGGTGGGTTGCACTAGCATGGCTGTGGGAGTGCTTTGGTCAGGCTCATCCGTTGGTCCCTCAGCACCGACCCAGGGTGGTGATGGGCTACCCAGTACCACGTGTGCATTGCAACGCTCCAGCTGCATCCAGAGCCCCGTTTGTGCATACACAAAGCGCCCGGCTTCCACACACGCAGAGCGCCCGGCTTGCACACACGCAGGGTGCCCGGTTTGCACACACGCAGAGTATCCAGTTTGCACACATGCAGAGCGCCCGGCTTGCACACACGCAGAGTGCCCAGTTTGCACAAGCGCAGAACGCCCGGCTTGCACACACGCAGAGTGCCCAGTTTGCACACGCGGAGAGTGCCCGGCTTGCACACACCACGCAGAGCGCCCGGCTTGCACACACGCAGAGCACCTGGCCCCCCTCCAGGAGCTGGCAGTGGTGCTCAGCGAGCATTTCTCCTTCCCGCCTCATGCACTATTACAGCAGCAGAGAATGAGATACAGTGCGGGTCAGCTGTGATCTGCAGGGCCCCTTCCGTAAAGCACCGCACTGCGTCTGTGGACACAGCGATCCGCGTGAGTGTCTTAAAGTCACCGACCTTAGGAACGTAGGGGTCAGGAAATAATACGGTGGAGCAAATTAGCCCTGAACTGTAAGTGCTGTGCTCAGCTAGCGCTGCTTTCACAGCAGGTGTGAAAACTCAAACCCTTCGGGATCAAACGCCTGCAACTGGCTTCTGCTAAACTTACACTAATGCTGACAAACTGCGTTTAGCCTCCAAATCAAGGCAAATGTACCAGGCGGCTTTGGTTAGCCGGGAATTCCCCATGGCCAGCCCCGTCCTTTGAGGATCTGGGCCCAGGAGGATATTTCAGCTTCTCGTTAACAATGGGACAGATCGTTAACAGAAGGGCAGCAATAGTCAGGTGTAAAGGCCCAGGCACACCGCTTGCCTGGGCAGTGAAGGGACGCTTAGGAAGCACCGCCCATTTCTGAAACTCGTTAGGGTCTAGCGGGATTTTTGAAGCCTCTAAACCCAGCCCTCACCCGGTGCTGTGCTGATCACACTGTGCTGTGACGCGCCCGCTGCTGACCATGGCACCAGCACCGCCAGGGCTAGCAAATGGCTTTTCACATTCAGAGCTGGAAGGCTTCTGGGTCATCAGCTTCACTTTGTAAATCAAATAACCCCCCTCCGGGCACCCTGTGCAGCACCGAGAAAGGTCGCCCCCTGTTGGTGAGAAAGCAAGCAGGCAGGCCAAGGGGCAATCTGTGCAGATCGTTAAGTACTAGCCAGCATCTTTCTGTGGCTACAGAGGTCTCAAGGAACGACTCGTGTTCAGACCTGCCTGAAATTCAGAACGGGTGGAAGACCACATCACACACAGCGCTAGTGAGAGGGGCCAAGATCACCTACCAGTGTGATCCAGGATATGACATCGTAGGAAGTGACACGCTCACCTGCCAATGGGACCTCACCTGGAGCAGCGACCCTCCGTTTTGTGAAAAAAGTAAGACAACCCCCCCCTACACACACATTGCTTGGTATTGCTGGGTTCGTGCACACAGTCAGCCAGGTCCAAAGCCCATTCAGCTCAATGGGGAGCTTTCCTTTGACATCTCTGGACTCTGGATCAGACCCATTGAATGTCAGGGTGCATGTGAAATGGGACTCGGTTGTGCTGAACACATGCCGAATAAAGCGTTTTCCAACCTCCTTCACGTGACTTTGCCAGTGGACTCCACACCAGTCCATTTCAGAGCTACTGATCTGTTTATCTGCCCCCACTGCCTGCCTTCCTGTTTTGCTGCTTGTCCTGTCTCACGTTCCTGTGGGGAGTTACAGAACCTGTTTGTCTCTAGTTATGTACTGCACAGACCCTGGGGAAGTGGACCACTCGACCCGTTTAATTTCTGATCCAGTGCTGCTGGTTGGAACCACCATTCAATACACGTGTAACCCAGGCTTCGTACTGGAAGGAAGTTCCCTTCTTACGTGTTACAGCCGCGAAACAGGAACTCCAATCTGGACATCAAGGCTACCCCACTGTGTCTGTAAGTTGGGCTCCGTGCGCTATGGTGTTGCAATTATTTCTCTTCTCGCGGCTGCAGTTTTACTTTCTTCCTTGTTATCTGAACTGATTTGCAAGTTTCCCACTGGAAATTCAGAACCCGCTGGAGCAAGCAGCGGATGAGCCCAGGGTCCCAGCAGACAGGCCGTTCTGTAAGCACCAGACATACTGAGCCAGGCATCAGACACCATTGCTCCTATTCTGTCACCTCCAGTTTCCTCCGGGCTTTTTCCTCCTTTCAACAGCTAGATCTTTAGGGACGTTCCCCCTGCTATAGCCCCAGATGCCGTACACTAGATACCATGTGGGCCGCACTGGTCCCATCCAGCCAGGAGGCCTTTTCTTTGTTGCCGGAAGTTTGAAGAATCCCTTCCTACGCACCAGCAATTCAAAGCAGTTCATAACAATTCAAATAACCAGGGTCTAGAATGAGAGGATAAGTAAAAGCTCGTTAAAGAGGCTGACGAGCAGCAGTGTAATAGAAACACCCCTGATAGCAGGTCTCTCTGCAACAGCAGAGCAGGCAGCGCCTGCTGCTGAAATCACCGTGGGTTTTGTTCTGTGGCCTCCCATCTCGTTTGCAGAAGACCTGTGTCACCCCATCTCCCTGCAGGGGGGCTACCAGCTCCTGACCCTGCCTGCTAATGGGGTCCTATACTGCCAGAGCGGAAGGCAACGCTCACTGGTGCAAGGAAGGTGAAGAAACGCAATATCTTCCCTGCTCAGCAGCTCCTGCCACTTTGTCCCCCAGCTCCTGATCTAGAGCAAAGGCCACCCCAGCTGTACGCTGGCTGTTACCACCAGCAGAGCTGGTCAAATCCCCATTACTGCGAGAAAGTGCCGCCTTGATTTCATTTTGCAGGGTTCAAAATTGACCCATTTTTCAGTTTTCCCCCATTTGTCATTAATATTGCTTTCAAAATTGGGGAGGTGTCAGCGTTCCTTGTCATTTCAATGGCCATTGCCAGGATTTTTCAGTCGAAACTTGGGAAAGGGGGCCAGAAGATGGCAGGCCATTTTGTAGGTGCTGACCATGTCAGCCGTTTTCATGAAAAGATCAGTGGTGTCTTTTTTTTTTTTTTAAGGCCATTTTCAATGAAAAAACGTATTGAAATGGTTCAAGCAGTGCAAGCTCCAACAAGGGGGGTGAAAACCCTACTCGCCCCAGGGGAAATATTCCTCACACCCAGGGAGCATGCTGCTTCAGCGAGCCAGTGCCCTTGTCCCTACAGGCACCGTTCGTGACCACTTTCCCTTCAGTGATCCAGCCAGGCCTCCAAGGCACCACGTATCACCAGCCCCAGCTAGTCAGAATCATGAGTTGAACCCCAAAGATCATGAGACTGGATTAAAAATCATGAGGTTTTAAAAAACGATAAATGGGGGAGGGGTGTTTTTATTGGTTGCCAGGACTTTGAAAAATGCAAGCTGAGAGTCTCGTGTAAATCACCTGACTCCGGGAGCTGGGGCTTTTAAGAGGAGTGCCAAATACCACGAGAGACATGATCAAATCACATGAATTGGCAGCAGTGACGCTGCATATTACTTCTCTTGGGAACCTTTCCAGAGTCCATGTCGTGTATTGGGGGGGGAGGGGGGAAGGGGTGGCGGGCAATGCATGAACTCCTGTCATTTGCCGGGGAGGGCGCCAGATCTGCGTAAGTGTCTGTGATTTTGCCATGCTCTCACTCCTGCAGGATACAAACCCAGTAACCCGTACCATAAATGGCAAATGTCCTTTAGCTGGAGGAGGCCTGTAATATGGCGTGGAAGATCCTGAGCTCGCACCTTGCTACTGACCAGGCAGCTGTGCAACCACAGGCTCCTTACACGAGGGAGCTAGAGGGCCAAATCTAGGAGGAGCGCTGTCACATCCCCCTTTTGCTGCTGCCTGTCTCCTTCCTTTTAGCATGCTCCCCATTCCGGTGCCCAGCCACAGCCTTTGCCTGGCAGCGGCTGGACAAGTCAGTGAGCTAATGGCAACGATCATCTCCCCCCGCTGGCGTTCTGTAGCCACTACTCACTGCCTTACCGGAGTCCTCGGCTCTGCCCTGCATCCTCGGGAGCACAAGGGGAAAGGGCAGCCTCCTGGACCCTGGGTGACAGTCAGTGGTTGGCCTGGCACCAGAAATGCTGGTGTTGGGTCAACACCCAGCCTGGGCAGAGCGCAGGTCGGGGTTTAGCTACTGCTTCAGCCCCACTCAGAACCGGGAGAAAATAAAACCAGAAGTAGAGATAAATGTACCTTCATCCCAACTCTCTGCGCCCCTCACTGTGCCTGGACCAGAGCAGCTGCCCCAGTGCCGCAGACTGCACAGCGGATGCCCACGGGGCTCCTAGCACCTTTACAGGGACACACAGGGCGCCCCAGAAAGTGCTGGCTAAGAGCTGACGGTGCCCTTGCCCCGCTCACTTGCAACCTGCCTGTTCCATGCAGCACCCAGTCTCTGCTCCCTCTGCTGGACACTTAGCCCAAGCCAGCTTCCCCCCTAAGTGTTTGATTTCATAGCAAGAGACAAGGGGGGAGGGAATAGCTTTTACTGGACCCACTTCTGTTGGTGAGAGACCAACTTTCCAGCGGCAAGGTATTCCCGGCATCACAGCTAAGTGCAAGGTGGAACAGATAGTTTAGCATAAGTAGTCAGCATATATTGGAAGGGCCCATTCGAGGTGGAGTGGCCTGTTAACACCAGCAGTCATAGGATAAAAAGAAGGGGTAAGGGGGGTTCCGGATTGTAAACAGTTGTGTAAAAAGCTAAGGAAAAGCTTTGGGCCAGATCCCCAGCCGGTGTCAATCGGCCATCACTCCACTCTGGTCAACGGAGCAAAGTCTCTTTGCAGTCACGCTGCTTTGTTGGCTGGGCACATCTGGCAGGGCCACCCACTCTCTGCCTCTCATGCCCTCTCCCTGCAGAATGCCACCTTGGGCTTGTCTGAAACCCCATCTGTTCCTGGAGTTTGCTGTGTCGTTTTAAGTAGCTTCAGCTCCCCCTATCATCCTCTGGGCAGAGGCAAGACTCGGCCCCACTTGCCTGATGAGACCCTTTGGCATTCTGCAAAGGCTGCGCAGGCTGGGTTGGATATCACAGTGCTCATCGCTCTGCAGGGCCTGGAGACCAGAATCGGCAGTCGGTTTGTATCTGCTCTACGGAGGCCCGGCCTGTAGACAGAGTCCCAGGCTGTTCTCTGACATGCCTATCAGTTCTGCCTTGGCATTTCCGCTGAGTAGCCACTTCCTGCAACCCTTGTGTGGATCAGGTTTGTTGTCGTAGCACATCCTGAAATTCAGGAGTTCGCTCCATAGCCAGTGTGAGGAAGAGAGAGCAGCACTGGGAAATCACAGCTCCATTTGCCAGCGCACTTTGTTGTTTTATTCCTGTGTGTTCCGGAGGAGGGCTTTGGCTGATGTTCCTAGTTCTCCCGCTCATCCTTTCTCTGGTGCCAGGACAGAGAACAGCGATGCTAGATTATTGCCAAAGAGCTCAGATGTCCCTTCATGGAATTAATGCTTCAGGTCCCACTATTTCCTATGGGAATAAGTCTGTGCCCAGCTCTGGAGTGTGTGTATATTTTCATGGTGATGGTGACTGTAGAATACCAGTATGCAGTGTACTTGTAGTTGTGTCGGTCCCAGGATATTAGCAAGACAAGGTGTGGGAGGTAATATCTTGTATTGGACCAACTTCTGCTGGTGAATAGCAGAGCCCAAAGTTCACCTTCTTAGACACTTAACAGCTGTTGAGCGGACTAATATACCAGGCTATTGCCTGACATACGGTTCCTCTTTAGCCAAATGTAGTTGGTGAAGGTGAGGAAAAAATAAATCCTGCGGCTTAGATCCCACAGTACGTGACTGACGGCTAGGTAAATGCTCGGGACAGGCAGAAAAAGCGTGACTCTCACTGGGATGTTTCTTTTCAGCTGAAGAGTCCCTTGCCTGTGATAATCCAGGATTACCTGAAAATGGCTACCAAATACTCTACAAACGCCTTTACTTGCCAGGCGAATCCCTGACGTTCATGTGTTATGAAGGCTTTGAGCTAATGGGCGAGGTTACTATCAAATGCATTCTGGGCCAGCCGTCCCACTGGAGCGGACCCCTGCCCATCTGCAAAGGTAACGAGCTTTCTGAGACAGCTGGAAAACAAGACCACACTTTGGGAAGGGGCTGGAATCCACCGGGATTTTGCAGGTGTCAGCTAGTTCCCGCCACGCCAGAGAATTAGCTCTGAGCAGCGACCTCCTCCAGCACAGAGATTTCCCCATCCTCACCGCCATTAAAAGGCAGCAGAGCATGTCACTGCAGTCCCCTCCTTAAGAGCTCCTTCTTCTGTTTTACCTTCAGCCCTGAAAACAAACAGCTCTCCAGGTGTCACCCAGGCTCTCTGACGCATTGGTGTTGCCAGGTTTCCAGCCACGGGCATCGGAGATTTTGGTAGTTGTTACGGATTTATCTCTAAGAGGTTCTGCCCGCCCGGGGGAGGGAATCCATCTCAACCCCTTCCTCTGTGTCGGAAGCTGCTAACTAGCAGCAGTTGCCTAGCACGTGGCAGACAGGGCTGGGGGAACAGAAATGGTCCCCAGAGTGTCCAGAGGGGTCTGGATTCTGCCCCAAGTCCGGTGAACACTTTGTTCCTGCATTTAACATTTCTCTATGTGTACCATTGTGATTCTGCCTTGGGTCACGAGTTGATGACAATGGCCATAACCCTTGGCCCAGAGGAAGCCCTGCTTGGTGAACTGGCCAGTTTTCAGTTTGAGTCTATTTCATGGACACAAGGAGGGACCTCCTGGTAACACACTAAACAGCAGGGAATAACCATCACTCAGTTTCTTGTGAATTGCCCAGTAACAGTGTCCTGGAACAGCAGCGTATTTCCAGGCTTTTGCAGATTGCTCAGGAGAGGATAATGTAATTCCCCTGACCCCATGCTTCGCTTTGCAGCTGATTTGCCCTGTAGTTATATGGCACTTGTTGTAAGGCCAGTCCGGGAATGCCTTCGATGGGTGCAGAAAGGCCAAAAGCATCCAAAGAGCTCAGTGTTGGTGGCACGGTTTGGGGTCTGTGGAGAGAAGCAGAGACTCCAAATGGGGGACTCCCCGTGCCCACGTGCTGATGGAAGAGACCTCTGGGGTGTGTCACTGCAGAGGGCAGGGGCCTGGGTGTGAATGGGAGGGGAAGTTGAGAAGGATGCACAGGGACACTCATGCGGGATGCCCACCAGAACTTTATTTCCTCTCTCTCCTAAAACAAGGACGAGAGGATATTCAAAGCAATTGAAAGGCAGCAAATTTAAAATTGATGCAAGGAAATCTCCTTTTACCCAGCATGGGATTAGCCTTTGGAACTCACTGTCACAAGATGCCATTGAGACCAAGAGTAGAGCAGGATTCAAGAAAGAAACAGACACTGATATGGATAATGAGAGCAGCCACAGTTAAATTAGACAGGGCTGAAAATATTAATGAAGGTTATAAACTCTCGTGCTCAGGGCATGAGGCGACTGCTCCTGACGGGGTTGCAGGAAATGTCCCCAAAGGGCAAGTCATTCCATAATCACCCATGATGGGCTTTCTGGCACCTTTCTTGGAAGCATTTGAAACAAGCCACTGATGGAGAAAAGAGAGCAGACAATTGCCCATCAGATGTTCCTATGAAAGTGCTCAGCGAGCTTCCCCTGAAGGAGGAGATCCAGGGGGGTTCCTTATGCTGCTGGGAATGTCCTTCTGGCTAGTTCTAATTTCTGGCCTGGGGCACTAGAGTTTTCACAAAGAGGGAAAACAGTAAATGCACCTAAGGGAAATGTGGGTATTTTTCATGTTTCACACGAGGCTGCCAGCCCCCATGACCATCTCGAACCCTGCCAACAATTCCCAATTTCTCTTGCAGTGAATCAAGACAGTTTTGAACACGCTTTAGAAGGTGAGTGAAATGCATTTGCTGGAAAATCCCAGTCAGGCTGAGCACATGTCTGGCACCGCCCTCTGGAGAGTGCAGCGCCTGCATTTGGTCAGACAATGCAAACAAATTTGCAACAAGTATGCATTGCAGCATTGACATTGCTCTGCAGTTCAGAAATTAGGGACCCTGGAACGCAGCTGGGCTGACCGCTCTGCATGGGAGGGTGTCACGTGCCCTCAGTGCAGGACTCTTCAGAGGGATGGAATATTTGGGGAGGTCCTCTGGGCAGAAGGGCTTGATCTGAGGCTTCGAGTACTCGTGGCCACCCATTGGGGCCTGCAGCTGGGACCACTGGATAGCAATTGCATTTCAGACAATAAAATCTCTCTTTCACCTGCCCGTCTCCTGCAGGGCACCTCAAGGCCCCACTTTGTGCTCCCAGCTGATAAGGGACACTAGACAATAGATGGGGTTGGTTTGGGCTTGTGAAGAAACCCAGGGCCGCCCCTGGGGGGGGGAGGGGGCAAGTGGGGCAATTTGCCCCAGGCCCCCACGAGAGTTTTTCGGGGCCCCTGGAGCGGGGTCCTTCACTCGCTCCGGGGGCCCCAGAAAATTCTCGTGGGGCCCGGGCCGCCGGAGCTTCTTCCATTCCGGGTCTTCGGCGGCAATTCAGCAGCGGGGGGTACTTCCACCCCGGGACCCGTCGCCGAAGTGCCAGGTCTTCAGCGGGAATTCGGCGGCGGGGACCCCCCGCCGCCGAAGACCCCAAGCCCCCTGAATCCTCTGTGTGGACCTGAAGAAACCTGGGTCTTACGGTTACATTTCAAACAAGCATCATTCTGCAGCTGGCCACGGAGACAAGGCAGTACCATGAGGGGAGGGAAAGGTTAGGAGGGAAGCAGAGCCCAAGGGCGGGGGGGGGGGGGAATCCCAAACGTTGGCCTATGGGAACATAATGAATATTGTGTTTTCAGTAGCAGAAGCTGCCGCAGAGACGTCGCTCGAAGGGGGAAACATGGCGCTAGCCATATTCATCCCAGTGCTGATCATCTCACTACTGCTGGGGGGCGCATACATCTATATCACAAGGTGGGGACCCACTGTAACAGCAACACTAACCAGGGATCTCAGAGCGCTGGGCAAACAGCAGCTCAGAAGCCTCCCAGTGCCCTCTGCCCAGTGCTGTGTTCCTCCCGAGAGGGAGCACCCAGCAGCTACCCCTGGACCCTGTGGGTGCTGAGGGGCCAGGCAGCTCTGATAATTAGGCCCTTACCTCACAGTATTTGCTGCCGGTATTGCGTGATCTCTGTGCTGAGCAGTGATTGCAGGCGGGAGAGCAAAGGGGAATGGGTGATTTGGGAGCGTGAGTGTGGGTTGCCTTGCTCCATTGGCTTCACCACTCCACATGCGCAAGCCATTGGGTTCTGCGTTGTTCCGACCCAGCGAGGTGACTTCTCTGTCTTGCGTCTCTTTTTCTCAGATGTCGGTACTACTCCAACTTGCGCTTGCCCCTCATGTACTCCCACCCATACAGCCAGATCACCGTAGAGACGGAGTTTGACAACCCAATTTACGAGACAGGGGTGAGTTGGCCTTTCGGTGCCTCAGTTCTCTCCATCCGTACATTACGTTAAACTGAAGGTGAAGGCTTGGCGCAAACTCACAGCAAGAGGGAAGGTTACGAACCCCCCTCAAGGTCCCTCCTGAGAGAACATCTCTGCTTCTTATCGCCCTCTGTGTCCCGGTGGGCAAACGATGCAGCGGGTCAGCCAGAAAATCAGTCTTTAGGGGAGTTTCAACAGCACCAGCATTTCCACCCCACCCTGGGGACAGGGTGAGCCGGACAATCAGAGCGAGGGGTGGGGGGCGTTAGAGTTTAGCCAAGGAGGGTCTAATACCCTCCTGCTGACTGCTGGGCTCCCCTCTCCTGGCCCTTTGGTGTGTGAGACTCCCCCAGGCGCAGCTAGGACCCCTGAGGTCTAAAGCAGGGGATGTGAGTGGCTCTGTGGAGTCTGCAGTGACACGACAGGCTCGTTGTGCGGCAGGTACAGCAGTTACACTGAACTAGTTCCCCCAAGGGGTCTCTGAGCTAAGCCCAGTGCCAGGGGAAACTGCGGGGCCTGCTGGAAGTCCTGTCCTCACCTCCTGCAGCTGCTTTGCACAATGGCTTCTGCCTAACTTCTAACTAGGAGAGCGCCAGATCCTGCCAGGTGCCGAGCGCCCAGCTCCCGCTACATGGGGCGAGAGTCTCACAGCCAAGCTCTGAGTTCCATGTTAGGACAATGGGCATGTTTGAGCAGCCAGGTGTGTGTGTCTGGGGGCATGAGAAATAAGGCAGTGCCTTGGCATGAGTTAGGTCTTCAAATCAGTGTTGCCTACTCTCAGTTTTATCACGAGCCTCACAATATTTGGTATTTGACTCAGAGCCCCAGCTCCCACAGGCCACAGATTGCATGAGAAGCTCAGCTTTCATTTTAAAAAGTCAGTTTCCAGCCCCTGTGGTTGTGAAGAAAAGCTGGAAAATGTGACCCAAGTGTGACCCAAAGGCTCCGAAACTGGAAGGCAGAGTAAAAGACCCCAAATGTATTATCTGTTTAAACCTAATGATTTTTAAACCAATCTTGTGATTTTTGGGACCTGATTTATGGTTTCTGAATGTCCGGGGTTGGCCATACTGTTGTCTCCATGAGAAAACTGTACCAAATAACGAATCAGTTTAGAAACGGGTCTAGTTAAATTGACACAGCCCTCTTGCACGGGCCCTCTTAAATAGAAATCAAAGGGAGACACCTGGGGTTTTGAACCCTTTAACTACATCAGCTTCTAAACCAATTTAATGAAATCAAGCCAGTTTTCTTGCATTGACAAGGCCTAGATGTCACCTGGGTCTGATCTCACATAGACCAGGGCTGATTAATGTGGGTGGAAACCCAACCATTCCTTTAAACGTGTTTTTTCTTCTTTTTAGGAAACAAGAGAATATGAAGTTTCAATATAAAGACTATGATACGAGAGTCTCCAAATGTGAACTTAATTCACTCCAATAGAACTTCCTCCGTAACTAATCCAGAGACCATGTGGAGTTTAATTGGAATCCTGGACCTACTCTTGTCTGTCCTTTTGCCTCTTTATTGATGATTTCACTGTTTTCTTCGCTGTATTTATTCTATTTAACTTGAGATAGATGTGTTCAGAGTGTTCCCGGCAGGCTGTACTCCGCTCCCTGGGTGTACCCGAGCTCTGAGGACCAGTGCAGAGCTACCAGTCCACACATGAAGGTGGGGAGGTGCAGGGATCAGCTGGCCCCATCCCGCAGCAGCGACAGTCTCCAACTCTGCACTGGCCACACGCAAAGAGATTTTACGTTTTTCGTGGTGTTAAAATTAAAATGTCTCCATGCAAGATCCTGCAGTTAACTGCCAAGAGCTGGGTTAGACACAGAGCTTGATTCCTTGGTATGATACATAGTCTTTCTGAGCACTGTCCTAAGCCTAACCACTGCCCACACATTTCCGGTTCTCCTAGAGTTTGATCAGGCATCTGGTGCTACGCTCTCTGATTCAAAGAGCAGTGAGTAGAGGGAGCAGCCTCTCTCCTGGGGCCCACCTCAGGCAAGTTACCAGGCAGGTACAGCGCGATGCCCTCGGGTGTCTGGGGAGAAAGGGGAAGCAGAGACCAAACTAGCAAGTTACATGCTACTTGCTTGGCCCAGCTTGTTTTTAATCCTGGAGAGGCACATACAAGAACATGTGAGCTGCTGCAGAGAAGCCTTAACGTATGCAACCAGCGATTGCTGAGCCTATCAGCCCCGGTCTGAGAGACCTTGGCAGACGTGGGTAAAATCTTCTCGGGCTGTGTTTCTGCTACACTGGGAACAAACAGGCTTGCTTGTCTTCTGCTCACACCTGTTATTTGTCTTTAATAACATTGACTGTGGCCATTGCAAGGAATCTGCAGTCTCTCTCAAAGTCTGAGTTCACCTTTTGCCCACTTTATTGTAAGTATCTCAGGGTAATAACGATGGAATACAGGATCCTATCACACGCTCTGGTTAATTTTGGAGCATTCGCCCTTCAAGGTTACGGTGCCCTCATGCAACTGGAAGAGTCCACTGTTCTTCTGGAATAGCTGCTCTGGGAAGGGCAGGTGGGCTGGTTAGTTAGCCACAACTCTGCATGAGACGAGCCAGAGTCAGTCCTTCTTCCCATCTTCCCGGAGCATGCAAAACCAGCAGAGGGCATTTGATCAGATCTCAGCAGCATGGGAAGACTTTGTGGCAGCAACCAAACCACCACGTTCCTGTCATTCCAAACCCATTCCAGGGCGCTGCCACTACTCTGTGGCAGAAAACAGTGTCCAGTAAGCATTGTCCATTAAGAGCTGCACTGTCCAGCTTTGAGCTAACAGGAAATCAACTAGATTTGCACTCCGCTTGTGAGTCAGGCATTGGGCAAACCCCACCTGGAGAAGAGAGACTAGACTAGTGGGATGATTGTAGGGAAGAAAGTCAGGTAGCAAACCTCCCCTGACTTCAGCACAGGAGCCCAATCACTGGAGGAACATAGCAGGCAAAATAGAGCCTTTAGTAGCCACTTCCATCTTGATCTAACCCTGTGACAACTGGAATTCAAGCACCACATTCATAGTCTTTGGTTCTGGAGAATAATATGTTCACATTTAACAAAACAAATGCTCACATGTTTTCTTTTCATGGAAACATAAAGATTCACAAAAGGTTCCAGTGACTTAGTTACCAATATTTCTCTTCACAAAACTGGCGGTCACACAGGCCCAGTCCTGCTATCGCTGGAGGGACAGCGACATTGTTGATGTTTCTTTGGCTGCTGGTGTCTTTATTCTGTCTGTGTGGAATGGCAGTTATAACCATGACAATGTTTTCAAGGCCGTTTTAGTTTAGAGAAGGTTAGTGCATCTCTGCAGTTGTGTGACTGAGACATTCGATTTTTTTTCCTTTGAAAAAAACAAAACTGAATGTGTATTTGTAATTTGTAAAGGTTAAAAAAAAAGAAAAACAAAAAACAAAAAAAGGTGCCAGAAACGTACCAGGTATTTCATTTCTGTTCAGATATGTCTGTTTTTATAAGAACAATGTGAAAATTGTTGGGATTAAATATTTTTGAACATGATACAGTACTTCCACGGGAAGCTCTAGAATTTAGTGTAACCTTAATACAAATTGTACTATATTTTTTAATGGTTGAAAATAAGTTTAACAAAAATTTGAGCCACAGAATATGCCTGTGCTTCAGCCTGTATTCCATGCTGCATACACTTCAACGCTATCTGCCATGTGATCCGCAGGTCTCCATGGTTACACACCAGACCCTTCCATTGTCACATTCGTGAATGAGTCTGATCTGAAATGAGTGAATGGTGCAGAAGAGTCCCCCTGGACCCAAACCGTGAAGATTGATGTCTTGGGTCCATCTCACAGTATTTCAACTGTGGAGTCTTTCTCCAGAAAATGGGCACAGGTTATCCCCTGCAGCATATGAGCCTGGTGGCTTCCAGGGGCGCCTCAGGGCTAGATTCTAGTCCCTCAGAAGTCACTGGGATGAGATTTGGCTCTCTGTGTTCTCCAAAGCCTACCCAGCCCAAATGAGTCTTCAGTTTCCTTTAGATTTGGTTTTACAAACTATCGAGATGCAAATCTCTTCATTTCCCCCTGGGAAGAAATACAGGAGCAACTGCTCCTTTGCTTGTCACTCTCAAGAGTGTATTACCACACTATCAGGGCAAGATGCCGCCCTCTTTAGAAGAAGCCTGCCGTGCTACATAAATTCAGCGCATCAGGGCAGGCGGACGAATGGCAGGTAACCAGGAACGGAAGTGATCCCTTATTTAGTTACTATTTCCTTTCTGTACATATATAAATATGATAGGATGGAGAGGTGGAAGGCCCCAGGGCCGCTCACTTTAAAATGCCTTCCCTTGCCTCCTGCTGTGTTACTTTAGTGCATTATTTAGCATGTTAAACCAAGCCTTCTGAGCAAGGGAAGCAAAGGGACCCTACCAGATGCATCTGTTTTCTGGGGCACAGAGCCTCTGCATTGGTGGTCTGGGCTCATCTGGAGGCAGTTTCCACTGGCTGAAGACTGGGAGAAATTTCAACCCTGCAGTAAACAGGCCCCACTCCCAGGGAAGAGAAGGGGAGACACATCTGCTTCCTGGGCTGGTTTGGCAGTGGATCTTTTACTGCTGGTGCCGTTAGCTAAGAGGCGTTTGCACTTTGTCCCGGGGCAGAATGAAAGCAAGTGGGAAATGAGACAAATGCCCTTGCCTTATTCACGGATGAAAACAACAGACCTTCCCCGGTCGCCTTGCTGTTGAACATCACAACGTCCTGCCCCATGGGGCAGGGAAACACCCCTCGACCGTAGAGACTGGCTCCCTCTGGGAGTCAGTGTGGCCCAAACCATCCAACCCCGTGGGATCAGAGATTTGCGCTAGCCCTGGCAGAGTCTAGGACTTTCTCCTCAGTTGAGCTGGGACTCTGGTTTGGGTGCAGAGCTCAGAACATCTGCTGATGGAGCGCATACTCCATGAGGTCTGTGTTTCCGCTGTCAGCAGTCAGAAGGGTCAGTGGAGATAAAGGAGATCGACTGTCCGGAGGAGTAAACGTGTGGCAAGCAGTACGTTCAACACTACTGTTCTCCTAAGGGCAGAATGACGTAGGACACTCTGCCCACCTGAGCCAAAGTCTGTCCAAGTCAATGGAAAGACTCCCACCAACTTCACAGAGTTTTGGATCAGGCCCTTAAAGCATAATGTTGACTAGGGAGGGATAGCAAAGTGTCTAAGGCAAATTCCACCAGTCTAGATTTTTTTGCTGTATTTATGTTGGTCTCCATTTCATATGTTCACAGTTTCAAAAACAAAGCCCAAGGTGGAACTGGATGGAAAAATGAAAACATTTTCTTATATAGTTATTTTTGGTTGATCTGGGGGCTTTAAAGGGAGAAGAGGTGCATATGCAGAACAGGGCAGTTCCAATGCACAGCTCACAACATTCCCTGTACGCCAGCAGAGACAGGCCGAACCCGAACGGTGCCACAGGTTTGCGTAGCGTTGTCTGTACTCGTGTACAGCTTTACAAGTGGTTTGCATGCAGTACAGCTGCATCACGGCTGCTCACCTGTCTACGATGCCTCTTGGTATTTTTTCATCCCAGGCGTCAGAATATCCTACTTTTGTTCACAGGAACAATAATGGATTTGTAGGGCGACATAATGTATATTTTTCATGCAATTTTCTTGAAGGTAAACTACAATTTCTTAAATCTTATTCTTAAATCTGAATATGGGTGAACTTACTGTGTTAAGAGAAGCATTCCGGCAGTCATAACTCTCCCTCCATATTAATGTACAAACATACTTCAGCTCTGTCTGTGGTACTTACCCTGAGTGCAATAAATTCCTCATTTTGCGTCAGGTCTGACCTCTCCTCATTTATACACTGTTGAGAATAACCATTTGCCCTTCTCATGCCTCTTTCATCTGAGGATCTCAAAGTGCTCGATGAATATTAATGAATTAAGTCTCACAACCCCTGTAAGTAGCTACTTTACTATCCCATGTTTCACCGATAGGGAAACTAAGGCATGGAGACGTTAAGCATCTTACTCAAGATCACCCAGCTGGGAATAGAATTCACATGTCCTGTCTCCTGGTTCCGGGCTCTGATAACTAGGCACTGGAATCCATCCTATAGCTTCTAATAAGTGTGGACAATAGGAGTGTTGTCGCTGTTTTTGTAAGTTGGTGCTTTGTGACTTCTTTATTGTCGGCTGGCTTCCAGGTTTGGTAAAAATACTCAGCTCTACACCCTGAAAAATAATGAGCCTTGTGGGAGATGGCCCTGCAACTTGGCAGGCAGAATAATTGAATGGCTGATACGGGACTTGAGTAACAAAGAATTAAAGGAGAGTAATATAGTTAATGGGCTTATGGAAAAGAGATCTTGTCAATCTAATTTGATATCTTTTTTAATGAGATGACAAAGTTTGGTTGATAAAGATAATAGTGTTGATGTAATAGACTTCTGTAAGGATTTGACTAGGTACCACATGGCATTTTGATTACTAAACTAGAACGATACAAAATCAACATGGCACATGTGAAATGGTTTAAGAACTGGCTAATTGATAGGCCTCAAAATGTAATTGTAAATGGGAAATCATCATCAAGTGGGGTCCCACAGGGATTGACTCTTGGCCCTCCGCTGGTTAACGCTTTGATCCATGGTAATGTTTGCAGGTGACACAGAAGATCGGAGCAATGACAAATAATGAAGAGAACAGCTCATGGATACAAAGCAATCTGGCTCGGCTAGTAAGCTGGGCACAAGCAAACAAATGTGTTTTAATCTGGAACTAAGAATGTACACCATACTTACGGGATGGGGGACTCTCTCCTGGGAAGCAGGGACTCTGGGGGTCATTGTGGATAATCAGCTAAACATCAGCTCCCAGTGCGAGTTTGTGGCCAAAAGGGCTAATGCGATCCTTGGATGTATAAACAGGGGACTCTTGAGTCGGAGTAGGACAGTTCTATTAACTCTTTATATGGCACTGGTGAGACTGCTGCTGGAATACTGTGTCCAGTTCTAGCGTCGGCAGTTCAAGGAGGATGCAGATCAATTGGAACAGGGTTCAGAGAAGGGCCACAAGAATGATTAAAGGATTAGAAAACCTGCCTTACAGTGATAGACTCAAACAGCTCAATCGATTTAGTTCAACACAGAAAAGGTTAAGGGGTGACTTGATCCATTCTATAAGTACCTACACAGGGAACCGAAATTTGAAAATAGAGGGCTCTTAAGCCAGCAGATAAAGGTATAACGAGATCCAGTGACTGGAAGTTGAATGTCGACATTGAAATTAGAAATACGGTGCAGTGAGTGTAATTAACCATTGGCTACCAAGGTTCGTGGTAGAGTCTCCATCACTGGCAATTTCTCAAAGCCAGATTGGCTGTTTTTCTAAAAGAGCTGCTCTAGTTCAAACAGGAATGAGCCCAGGGAAGTCCTATGGCCTGGGTTATGCCGAAGGTCGGATTTAGGTGATCACAATGATCCCTTCTGGCTTTATAATCTATCTCCCAAACCTGACATGTCTGACTGCATTGCCCCCAGACTGCACATCACCACTAGCCTGGCCGAATTACCAGTGTGGGAGGGCAGGAGGCCCAGGGGATTTGGGACAGAGGAAAGGGACGTTGTGCAGCTGAAGGTTATTAGTGTTCGTTACACATGGATGTGCTTGACACAGTACAGGACCGAATACAGACAGCCCCTGCCCCACAGTGCTTGGCATGGTTTGGAAGGAGTGGGGGGCTGAGGGGGGATTTGACTGGTAATGTCGGTAGTCGGGTTCCAGAGTCCTCACACTCACAAGAGCAGGATTAGAGCAATCAGAGTGCCGGGGAGGAGAACTCTGGCCCTTGGCTCTCTGGACCCTGGCTAATTCCCAGGCCACAGACATCTGGGGCCTGGCCAAAGGCTGAGGATTTGGTGGAGGCTGCCAGGGAGCCAGGCCAGGGAGGGTTTCTGGCTGCTTTTTCTTGGGGTTCCCCCCTAAGCCCCTGGCCTGAGCTCCCACAGGGCTTGTGGCCTGTCACGAACTCCCAGCCAGCGGAGGGAGGTGGGTCCCTTGGGAAGGAGGAGAGCGGGGAAGCGTGTCTGGTGTCAGGGAAGCCCCAGCCCCAGAGAGTGAACATGTCCCAGCGCTCAGTGCAGGGCAGCAGGAGGGGGCTTGGCTTGTTACGGGGAGGCCGAAGGGTGGTTCCTGCTGGGGGAAGGGAGAGCGTTCATCCCCAGTGCAGAACGCCACAGCCAGGCAGCTATGCTGGTCCCAAGGATCACGACAACGGGTGCATCTCAACGGCAGCTTCAGCTGAGGGGCTGGATGGCGGAGCTGACTGGCTTAAAGCTGGCAGGGAGCCGCTGTGTCCTGTCAGTGAGACCATCAAGGGAAATCGATGGGGCACCAGCGTTTGGGTCCCGGGATCTCAGATAAACGAGAACAAACGGGCCTGGAGGGGGCCTCCCTTTAGACCCCTCTCCTCCAGCCATGGCCCAGCCATCGGGGCTGAGCCTGGGGTGGCTACGGCTCTGATAACTGGGGGGGGCTCTCATGCACACAGAACCCTCATGGGGGATGAGGGAACCCGACAAGCGCTGTCCTTACAGCCACCAAATGTCTTCAGCAGCTCAGCCTAGGAGGCCCTGAGTCCTGGCCCGTCCCGCCTGCGTGAGTGGGATTCCAGGGCTGTGTGGCTCGATTCCTCCCCCTCCGGCGGCCCTAGGGCTAGGATCCCCCCTTCTCACATGCTGGGTCTCTCCCGACTCTGGCACTGTCCGTAATTTCTGCCAGTCACTGCTGGCCAGATCCTGCCACCTTTCCCCAGGCTGAGTGGTACCGGGCTCCGCAGTGGCTGGTTGACCCCCGGGGGAAGGCGCTATCGAACATGGCCATGGAACGAGGGGCAGGGCCTGGGCAGTCAGAGAGGCTCTTTGGAGTGGGAGGGAAATCCCATCGCACCTGGAGAAGGGGTGTGGGCGTCTCAACTGCAGGGGCTTTTCTTCTTCCCCACCAGTAAAGCAGCCTGGCTCGGAGGCCTCCAGGCAGCCGGAACAATGGCAGCGAGCTCTCCATTACACCTCAGCGTCACCTCGGCTTGCCAGAGCCCCGGCCTGGCCCCTACCGCTCCTCAGCAGGCTTTAGCTGGGAGCTTTCTCCCGAGAACGATCTGTTGGGGCAACAGCTGCCCAGGGCGGAATTCCAGGGATCGCTCTGACTCCCAAATCCGGCTGGAGGCACTGAGGTGACACAAGCCGCTGCTCTCTGGGGCACAGCTCGGACAGCGCCTGCTGCCCACGGCGTCTCTCACCCACGTGCTGCAGAAGTGCCTTTCCCCCTGTTTTGGAGTGGCACTAAAATTCCTCCTGGTAAAGTCACCGCCTGCGATTCCCATCCTGCCCCTATGCAGCCAAGCACCCACTGCTCCTGCTCAGTCTCCAGCCCCTTGCGTCAGTGCTGCAGCTGGGAAGGGAGGGGGTTGCTGTTATTTCTCCCTCTGCACAAAGTGCCCCAACGTATCAAATGTTGGGCGTGAGAGAACCAGTCTCAGAAACACAAGCCACTGTTCCTAGTGCAGAGTGGGGCACTCGCCCGTCTACCTCTGCAGAGCCCTGAGACGTGGCGCACCGTGGAGTTATGGGTGTGCAATGTGTAGCGTCAGCCCCAGAGCAGCATCGCTGGCTTGCTGCCCCCAGAGCTGGCTCCCCCTGCCCTGAGCTGCCCCAGACTCTGTGGAGTTGATTACATGGACCATGTGTGGGCAGGAAGGGCCGATGTTCCTGCAGCAAGCTGGGTGCAGGCTGAGTAGGCGCTGGAGGTCTGACATCCGACTGCCCATGGCTGGGTCGTGCGGGGAGTGGCTGCCCCACTTCCAGGCTGGAGTGCTGCAGTGCAGAGAGCGCACAGCCAGTGCTCCCCGGCCATGTGATCGGTTTGTCAGGCAGCTCACGTCGCCTGCTGGATTGAGCTGCCACATTAGAGCCTGTGGAGCCACTTTCTGCTGTGAGTGACTGTGACTCAGATGGAAATCTATTGACCTTATCACTGGTACAAATGAGCCCAGCCAGGCGGAGGCTGTGTGGCCATAAGGGGGTGGGAGCCGACACACCAGCTCCTGCAGCCACCTCTGCACGGCTCTGCAGCCCTTGGGGGGGTCGGAGGGATTGAGATTGCAGGTGTTCCGCTCACCCCGGGGCCATACGCTGCTCCTGCCTGATGAGCTGTGGCTAGTCGAATTGTCCCCTAGCCCCCATAGTCCGCTGGGTGCTGCACAGGGTCCCATGAACTGAGAACCTGGATCTAACCTGGGAGTGCTACACCTCCCAGTGCCCCACACCGCAGGGAGCTCACTGCTCACCCCATTAGTCCTCAGCCAGCTCTCAGGTTCTCCCCTTTTCACTAAGGGACTTAAAGCATTGCTGGCTCATTTTTGCCCAGATTCCTGCCTTTACCTTCTAGCTAACTGCTTTCCTGCCGCTCTTCATGTCGGCTCACGCCCTGGGCCCTGGCCGTATGAAGTGGCTGGATACTCCCCAGCACCCGGGGGCGTCTGTGCCAAGCAAGCGCTCAGGCTTGGGCTCCTTGCATTGTGTGTGCTGCAAGCCAGGAAGATGGGGGAGGGATCTGTGTGCAGGGCCCAGCAGTGAGTGTAGCTGAGTAGATGGGATTCTTACATCAGTAGGGCCTAAGGAATCACAGCCTTGTCTGGGCCGTTCTTCCCAGCCAGCGAGAGGGGCTGACAGCAAGTCAGAGCTGCTTGGCAGGAGCTTTATTGATTTGGATTTACATACAGCATCAAAGCAGTATGGGCCAA